CTCCTGGGCTTAAGCGATTCTCCTGTCTCAGCCTCCTGAGCAGCTGGGACTACAGGTGCCTGCCACAACACCCGCTATTTTTCTGTTGCAGCTCCGGGCCGTGACCAGGTTTGAACCCACCATCCTCGGTATATGGGGCCAGTGCTCTACCACTGAGCCACAGGTGCTGCCTGCCATTGGCTATTTTTAGAGATGAGGTCTTGCTCTGGCTCAGGCTAGTCTTGAACTGATGAGCTCAGGTGTGCCACTGCCTTGGCCTCCTGGAGTGCTAGGATTACAGGCATGAGCCACTGTACCCAGCCTGTTTTTTATTTTTTTAGAGACAGCATCTCTCTATTACCTAGGCTACTGTGCAATGGCATCATCACAGCTCACTGTAACCTCCAACTTCTGGGTTCAAGTGATCCTCCTCTCTCAACCTCCCAAGTAGCTGGGACTACAAGTGCACTGACACTCTATGCTCAGCTAATTTTTTTTTTTTTTTTTTTTTTTGGAGACAGAGCCTCAAGCTGTCACCCTGAGTAGAGTGCTTTGGCATCACAGCTCACAGCAATCTCAGACTCCTGGGCTCAAGTGATTCCTCAGTCTCCCTAGAGCTGGGACTACAGGCGCCCGCCACAATGCCCCGCTATTTTTTGGTTGCAGCCGTCATTGTTGTTTGGCAGACTTGGGCTGGATTTGAACCTGCTAACTCAGGTGTATGTGGCTGGCACCTTAGGAAACAGGATCTTGCTATTGTGCCCAGGATAGTCTTGAACTCATGACCTTAAGTATTCCCCCTGCGTTGGCTTTACTAAGTGCTGGGATTACAGGCATGAGCCATTATACCCAGGAAGAGCCTTCTTTTCTTTTCTTTCTTTTTTTTTTAAGATAGAATCTCACTTTGTCCTCCTTGGTAGAGTGCTGTGGCATCACAGCTCACAGCAACCTCCAACTCTTGGGCTTAAGCAATTCTCTTGCCTCAGCCTCTTGAGCTGAGACTACATGTCTGGGACTGTAGCTGGGACTACAGGTACCCACCACAACACCCAGGTTTTTTTTTTTTGTGGTTGTCCTTGTTGTCTAGCAGGCCCAGGCCGGGTTTGAACCTGCCAGCCTCAGTGTATTTGGCTGGTGCTACCACTCATGGTGCCCAGCCATGAGTCCTTGTTCTAAAATAGCCGGGTATTGTAGCAAGTGCCTATAGTCCCAGCTACTTGGGAGGCTGAGGCAAGAAGATCACTTTAGCACAAGAGTTTGAGAGTTTGAGCTTGCTGTGAGCTGTGATGCCACAGCACAAAATAAAACTCTGTCTCAGAAAAAAAAAATAATAATAGTGGCTTGGCGCCTGTAGCCACATACACCAGCCACATCAAGGGTGTATGGTTACGGCACCAGCCACATACATAAAGGGTGGCTTGTTCAAGCCCGGCCTGGGTCAGCTAAACAACAATGACAACTGCAACAAAAAATAGCTGGGCGTTGTGGCAGGCGTCTGTAGTCCCAGCTACTTGGGAGACTGAGGCAAGAGAATCACTTAAGCCCAAGAGTTTGAGGTTGTTGTGAGCTGTGACTCCACAGCACTCTACCGAGGGTGACATAGTGAGACTGTCTTAAAAAAAAAAAAATGTGGGTGACACCTGTGGCTCAAAGGAGTAGGGCACCGGCCCATATGCCGGAGGTGGTGGGTTCAAACCCAGCCCTGGCCAAAAACTGCCAAAAAAAAAGAGTAAGTAATAATAATAAAAATAGTATTTGTGTAGGGCTGTTGTAAGGATTCAACAAATTGGATATTAAGTATTTTAGTATATTGCTCAATTCATATGAAGTAGGCAGGTTTTGGCTGCTTTCACTGGTGATGCTATTTTTAAAATACTCAACTTTAGTTTTCTGTTTCCTTCCTAAGTATTATAATGGTTTTATTTTCTCTAACTTTTAATTGTAGTTATGAAGTATTTCATCAAATATTGAGCTACTGCTAGATGCCAGGGCCTATTGTAGTATCTCCGGATAGATAGAAGACAAGACAGTTAGGGTCGCCACTCTCACGAAGTAGCATACTAGTGGGAGAAGGTGTCTCCAAGTAAACAGTTGCTCCGGATGTGATAGCTAATAGCTATAAAGCCATCATGGAAATGAGTAAGATACAATGATGGG